CCCAAAGATATTGGATCATTGCTGACCCTCAGACGGAGGGAATCCGAGACTCTTCGCCAGTACGCCATCCGATACTGGGAATAGATAAATGAGGTAGAAGGCTGCTCGGAAGTCATGGCAGCGGCGTCTTTTAGGCTCGGCTTGGCGAGGGACACGGACCTGTACCGATCCCTGACCAAGAAGACTCCCTCTGATATGGGCGAGCTGATGGCCCGGATAAAAAAATACTCAAAGATCGAGGACGAGATGGGAAGCAGCAAAGGCCGAACCCTCCAACCTAAGAGAAAGGAGAGGGAGCGGGAAGATACTCCCCGAAAGGGATTGCTACCCCCTCCAGGGGGTTCGTCCAAAGGAGTTCACACTATGTTCAAGGAACCCATCTTCAAGTTGCTCCATAAAATCAAGCATGAGCCGTTCTTCAAGTGGCCGCCCAGGATGCAGAGCGATCCCTCCACCCGTGATCAAAAGGTTAGGTGTTCCTATCATCGGGATTTCGGACATCGCACCGAAAGCTGCAGGGTATACAAATCGTTCTTGGAAAAATTGGTCCGAGACGGATACTTGAAAGAATACATAGAGCCCAGGCCAGAAGAGAGACACACCCTTGCCCCGACCGAGGAGCCGGACAACGTCATAGATGTCATCCATATATGTCCCCTGGATCGCTCCACGTCCAAGGAACTCGAGTCCGACCTCAAGAGGGTAGCTTTTACAAGGAAGGTAGCCGAGGATGATGGGGGGCCACCCAGTAAAAGGGCCAGGACTGGTGAGCCCAGCATCACGTTCTCCGACGCGGACTTGACAGGTGAAGTGACTCCTCATAACGACGCCCTCGTCTTGACCCTGAAGATAGGAAAATTCGACGTCAAAAGAGTGTTGATAGACTCTGGAAGTTCCTTGGAAGTGATGTACTCCGAGACTTTAAAACGGATGAGTCTTGGCCTCAAGGACCTCACCAAGGTCAGGACACCCCTCATCGGATTCAACGGCTTGTTCGCCATGCCCGTAGGCAAAATCACATTGCTAGTTGTCACGGGTCCCTTCGTCATCAACACCGAGTTTGTTGTAATTGATACGGACTCTCCCTACAACGTGATCATGGGGCGAACTTGGCTGCATGCATTGGGAGCGGTGCACTCCACTTACCACCAGAAACTAAAGTTTGCCACTCTAGAAGGTATCATGGAGATCCGGGGGGACCAAGCGTCTGCAAAAAATTATTTTTATTCAGCCGTTAGAGCCGGAGCGTTCACCTAAGAAAAGGGGCGAGCCCCGGAAAAGATCATGGAGAAATAGCAATCACAGTCCGGGCGTCCAGGAATGGATGACCCCCGGATAGACCCAACTGAGCGGTCGGTGGAGGACCTCCGGAAGGTGCCCTTGGTGGAGGGAGAAGAAGAAAGATATTTCTTAGTTGGGACCGCGATGCCCGCAGCCGAACAGGAGGAGATGATTGAGTTCCTAAGGGGAAATGCAGACGTGTT